TTGGACTATAATTATCATCCCAAAATTAGAATTTGTTATCCATGTGTATTTTTATGTGGTTTCTACCACGTTCTAACTTCGAAATTTTCTAAATATCCGCTATGATTCCAAATGAAAAATGGTAATCTTTGGACTTGACCTTATAACTTATAGTTGTTTTCATTATTAGTCATACGACCAACACTCATGTGGATTAGTCATTAGAAAACAGTATTATAAAATATATGTAAAATATTTTTGCCTTTCCTGCTTGCGTTTTGATGTGGATCTTTACATCCGTTTTAAAATGATAAAACAATCCGTTTTACGAGACTGTATTTTATATCTGTTTCGCTGGTATTTCTACCACGCCTCTTCAGTAGAACATTTCCTTTGATGGTTCAGCTTGTTTCTAATTATATGTTTTCTTTCTTTGGTTTATTTAAAATGTAATGGACACTTGTTGACAAGTTTTTCGTCGACCCACTGCACCCAGATTTACAAGCAGACGATTCTGGTTCTCGTGATGAATTCGAACGCAGCTCAACCACTTGAGATGAAGTCAAACAATTAAACTTCAGCGAAATATGATCCAATCCTGGATCCTATTGTATCTGGTAAATGTAGGTTTTACATTTAATCCTGATATATAATGAGGATGACTACATATGGCAATAATATATGGCCTATTGTTTAACTAATATCTTACTTTGTCGCGTCATTGTCACATACCATGTGACCTACTAGACTTGTGGCTTGATAAGTGTATTTAAAATGTTATACTTTTGGAAGGAATATGTCTCTTTTGCCCCGTGATTCTCCCTAGCTCTGGTTCGTTCCCATATGAAAATGATACGACATCGATACACAGCCATTCCCACTTAGTACTTATAATCTGGATGAATCGGTCTTATATTATGTGACATTAACTTTGATAATATTACATAAGAGTCTGATAACGTGAGATAGTTTAGACATTATGGGCTATGATAGTATCTTGATGGGCCTGATGTAACGCAGCTCAAGTGTCAATCACTTATCCAGCAACAGACGACCATTGAGGATTTTCAGTGAATAGGTTCCCTGTGCAAAACGTACAACAAATGTTTATTCTAAGGCTGTATTGAAGGTAAATGTATTCAAAAAACATTAAATATTTCTGAAATACACACTAAAATCGTATAACATTGCAAGATACCCAGGTTGTATATCTCATTTATGTTGAAAAAAGCAAAACGTTCATGATATCCATGGTAACGTTTGAAAGACTGTTGTGATTTCTGGAAAGTGCCAGAGTTTCGTCTGTTTGATTCAAACAGTCCAGATATCGGATTTGACACCTTATCGAACTATTGACTTGACATTTCACCACAAAATTATGCCTCGATATATGAAAATCGGTGTCTAATTATGAGATAACAATTAACAGGATAAATTGTAATATCACAATTAGTAGGCCTAACTATTTGAGGTTACAATTAATAGGCCTGGCTATAAGATCACAATTAATAGGCCTGTCCCTGAAATTACAATAAATAGGACGAACTATGATGATGTCATAATCAGCCGAAAATCAAAAAGACACAAATCACTAAATAATGACAAATTCTGTTGTTAAAATTGGCAAAGTACCACGACATTTGGATATGCACATTTACTTCATCTTCGACTTCCAAGGTATTATTATAAAAATAGTGAAGTTTGAGAAACTGAAACCTTTTGAATCAAGATGTTTTAACTAGTTCTGCGTCAAAATTAGATATGTTCACTTCCTTCATGAGACGATATGATCTATTCATTTATAATTTGAGAAGGAATCCTGATAAGAACTGATAAATTATTTCTCAAGAAACAGGACCATGGTCCTAAAATCCTTAAAAGAAATAAGATAACATCCTGATGTAATAGTATTCTCTCACAATTCTAGAATGCACAATTATCAATTTCTTGGGATTCATTCTCACGTGAGAAGGGATCTGGTAATAGTTTTAACCATTCGTTCATCCTTCTCAAAAAATACCCAGGACGCTTTTTTCGTCCTGCGTCAAATACACATCAACAATATTCTTTCTACTATACATTTAATGAGACATAATTTAAGAGTGCAGACCGTGATTTTCTGGATCCCAACCCCATATAGTTTTTGAAACGTTGCCATGACGTCCCATTTATGTCTGCTAAAGATGCAGCCAAAGCAGTAGTAAACACAGCAAAGTGAGTTGTCTGAGATTAACCAGAGATAGAACTTGACGTCTAGCTACATCAAGGGAGGACATATCGTGATCCACGACGGCCATTTTGATTTAAAGCTCATTCTGTTTTGCTAAGTGCCCATTTAGATCTGTTTAATCCAAAACGCGTGCCTGTTATGGCCCTAATTGTTTGGCATGCCCTATAACCTATACTACTTGAGATTTAGTCAGAATAAGTACACGATTACATTTAGGAAGATTTTTCAACAACTTTTTTTGTGAAATCATCTGTTAATTTCAAAACGGGGTTTTAATCCCTGCATTATGTCGCTCAGTGTGACCTGCTCGAGTCACAAAGGAACGGGGCAAAGTTTCCGAAAACATTCTTCTTGTTTTCATTTTCACTTTGTTCAAAGACAGTTGACTAAATCTGGATGTAAATTTAATTATCCAAGACTTTTTTCTACTTTTTGAAGAATATTTGAAGTCGTTCTCAAAATAAGCAAATAAAAATGTTTCAAGAAGATTAACTAAAGAACACGGCATAGAAAGTTAAAAGCGTTTCCAGATTGAACTAGAGTGACAAATAATTACCTGGGATTTTAGTTTCACAGATGGGGGTGAAACAAACATTGGTTTCTTCCTTCAATGTGGTCTTTATAGATCTAAGAGGCCATCACGCCTCTTATTGTACGATGTCTTTAATCGTGTTGTTCTGTTTAGATTTTTCTCAAATATCTCACTTTTCAGATCACTGATTTAACCACGTGGTATAATTGTAACCAATGAGCTGACTGATTTCAGACATCGGTGTCGTTTAGATTATGGGAATATGTGAACCTCTTTTATTGTTTGTTTGGAAAATCTTGTGTCATTCTTTAGGATGGCTTGGGGCATTGTCGGTAGAGAAAATTGAATGAGAAACACATTGAGCGATATAATGTAGACTAGTGGCCAAACTTATCCATGTACCGATAATGTGAAGAGTTGGGTTGTACTATGAGAATGTTAGATAGATGGTGGATTCCTGTATAGTGATTGGAATTCCATTAATATTTCATCTTATGCAATCCATCCCGATTCAATATTCAAGTGTTCTACAAAATTATAGCAAAATAAGTTAAGCATATGCAGGGGTCGTTGTATTTTTATTTTATTACATTAAATAATTACCTAAAAATATATGGATAATTGCATACACCATAAATCGACCAAAACTGCGAGTCAAAAATAAATTTGGCTTTCGATCATAACAGTGCGAACTTGGGACATGTTATTTGATGAGCCAGACTCGTTCGTGATGGCCCAGTAGTTGCAGGAAGGTCATATGTAGAACATAGGTAAACTGTGGATTTTATTAGCGATTCCGGAGGGAAAGAGGGTGTGAAAAGATACAAGATCGTTGAAAGCTCAACATGAGTAGAGATAAGAGGCTCATCATTGTAAGGACCCTCTTGGATAACGATAAAACACCTTGGGAAAATTTGCAAATATTCATCCCGAATCTTCCTATTCTGAAACCACTTTTGCCTCACATTTTTATTTGCTTATTTGTTTTTTGTGCGTACGTTTTGCTTGTTTTTAGTGAGCTCAAAGAGGTAGACAACTCGCAAACAAAACGTAACTAACACAGGTATCTATCAAAATGAATCGAAGACATAGGAAAGGGATTATGTTCTTGTGTAAAAAGCGAGTTATGTTGACTTGCCGAATGTAACCACCGTCATCATTGTCAACGCGAGATTGAACAAATTAGCCCGGAATCTCTCTTGTTTCAACAACATAAGAATTGTTGCCGAGAATTATACGTGTGAGAAATTCCTCCTTGGAGTTTTCAAAATCAAAATAAAGGCTTATCAAGATAAGATTATGTTTTTCCCAGAGACCTTGCCAACATTTCAGATTCTAAAAACATGTGTTAACACTGAGTATTCCGCCTTTGACAACCCCGATCCTGAAATACGAGCTTCCATTGGAAACATTCAAGCAGGGAGATATCGTCAGATCCCTTTACTATTTGCAAAATGTTGATTTATGAATTTGCTATTATGAGGAACTTCTGATGAAATAAATGTCGACTTTGAAATCTGAAACTCATTTATTTAGGAGTTTAACAAAAATGTCTTTGACGCTTTGCGTTGCGTTGTCCCAGTGGTGTTTGATACCGGGCCGATTATCGCAACCGTAACGATAAGGTCGTAATAGGGTCTCGCTGAATTTTGTTTCATCTTGGTTAGCGTGTTGTTTTTTGTTCTCAAAATAAAAAAGTAAGCAGCATATCAGTATTTTTACTTTAATTTGCTGTTGAGAGGAAAATGTTTTGAAACTCTTGAAAGTCAGAATTTGAGGTTTGCGTCTAGATTTTGGAGCATGCAGAATTTACAATGTGGCGTTCAGCTCAGTGAGTAGTTGCAAAAACGTGGATTATAACGCACATAAAATATGTGGAACTTCAAGATTGCAATTTGTATCCCGAATGTGTAGATTAAAATATAGTTAGTGTAGGCTCGTATCTTAATTCATTCCAAAGGTATCCCTAAGTGAAGCTATATCATAAAATGGGTGAAATCCAAATCACCATAACTTGATAAAATTCTGTGGAAGCCAGCGAGCACAATTTAAGATAACCTCGATATTGTGATACAAGTTTTTCCACAGATGTATGTACCAATTATTAATGCAACCGAGTACCAAGACCGATATGTATAAAATTTTGTGGAAAAGCCAATGACTAATTATATTTTGATGGGATGTTTAAATTCAAAAAAAAGCCAATGACTTGTTCAATGTTCATGGAAACAATGCCGAATAAAATATTTTGTTACTTACCATGTAATCTGATCCGCCACTACTGGTGGAACCGTTTTCTACTGAATTTTCTTCACCATTTTGGGGATGGGGACGGTTGCCATGTAACAGATCTTCTAAATTCTCGATGTATTCAATAGCATTTCGAAGAATTTCTACTTTTGGTAATCTTTGGTTAGGGTTGGGACATGTTCGGCGTTTTAAAACTTCAAACGCTTCGTTAACTTTTCGTAATCTACGTCGTTCCCGTTGTGTCGCGGCCTTCCGCCGATCTACGGCGACTGTCTTCCTTTTGCAAGCCTTGCATGCCCAGAGGAGACATCGCCTGGTGGGGCCGTGGAACCCAGGGGCCAAGACATGAGGTATATGTTCGTCGTCTTCAAGGTTAGCATTCTCATCGACAGATAATTTGTCGTGATCACTTCCCACCGGTGAGCACACACCGCCGTCACTTTCTGCGCTTGGAGACGGTTTACATTCTATGTCGCTACGCGGTGACAATCCGTGGTTTTGGTTTTGGACTGGATTGTGGTTAGTTGTAAGTGTATTATTTTCATTGTCTTTCCCCGCATTGAACTCTCCCGGTCGACCAAAATCGGCTCCCGGGAAACCATAAAAACCATGTGTCAAATGACGATAAGCTTGTCCATAAGCATTCTGATCGTATGGCGTACGATTGTATCCCTGTTGGGTCTGTTGTTGTTGATAGTATTGCGCATGTGACTGTGAAATGTCCATTATTTGGGATGTTGAGTCGGATATTTCTCCAACACGTGCTGCCCCAAATCCGTTCATACTGTTATGTTCAGTGCCGTACCTACAGCTTCTTAAATCAGTCATCATCATAGTGCCGGTTTATGCACAGTACAGAAACACCAACCTTTACACTTTCAATTTCCAACAACTATTTTTCACAATGTTCGACTCAGCAAAATTCCTGAGTTGCCACTCTATTGAGGTCTGTCAAACCACATGTATTGTTGTTTCAAAAAATAAAGATAACATTTGCAGATGATTTGATGAAAGTTTAGAGAATTGTGCTGCAAAGAAAATCTACTGGTCGTTATAAGAAACATTGGTTCTGTCTTGGACCAATCAGATCGTTTGTTTACAAGGATTCACAGCTCCAGCATGGGCCAACATTAAAGTAACATTACACCAAACTTAGGTCTATCAACTAAAACTTCACCATTAATTAGCGGCCAGGATTCAAAAGTTTATCTCGGGGGCTTTCATCGGGTGCTCCTAATACACTGCATGAAACGACGGGGAGATATCAGTGCGCTCAAAAACATCATCAATATATTCATCGCTACAATAAACAACCATGATGAACAATCTCTTACTATTGCAAAGAATATTTCTGAAGATTTACTTTTTTATTCCAAGATTACAAAGTTTACTCGGCTGTTCATAGAAAACCCTAGAGCCAATCAGATTTATGGAATGATACACGAAGCTGTTAGATTATGTGTACCCCCTCCCTCTGGTTTAGTAGATCAAAGAGGGGTGTGCGTTTCAGGTCACCGGCAAGGGTCAGCGGTGTTCCAAGTAGTCCCAGATGTAAAACTTGTAAAATTCTAGGTTACCATGGTTTCTCGAGTCTCGCCATAATTCTAAATGGCGCTTTTAAGACTATTTATGAAGGCTAATAATCGTTATTACCCTAATGTGTTCCCCTTATGCACCCGAAACAGATTATATTCCACAGCTAAAAGAAATAGAACTTAAAATCGAGGAAGTAGCTAATGATTTGCCATGCAATACCTTGGAAGGTTTAATAAAACACACAAAGTCAGCGAGGCATATCGACACTGAACCCGGTGGTCACGTGGTAGATGTACGATGTGGTTGCACACACTATATGATCATCGCGTGAATCATCAAATGGACGGACCTTTACAGATCCACTTAAAACCGAAATCATTCGCCTCGCTCGCTAGAACTGAAATTGATTACAGCTCGTTGATAAGAATGATTTTTTGTTCTCGAATTTCAGCGTCAAAAATCGAACACGATGAAACTATGCGAAACCGTGGAAATTGTAACCCATATTCTCGAAACAACAACGAAAAGGGTTTCCATAGAAAAAGTATACACATATATCACTCAAAACGTTTATCCAAGTTTCACACATTAGCTCTAAGATAGTACACGTTTTTCATCAAGTTTGGTCCCACTGGGGACTTCAAAGAGAGACTTTAAATCCAAAGATCTGTGGTTACAAGCTCTTCAATTAGATATGACTGCGATATGATGATTATAATTAGAAAATCATATGTTTTAACACAGTTAGTGTTGATGTTGGAAAATTGGGCTCGATTAGAGATAGAATCAGACCACGTCGTTGATAGAATCCAGGGTGCTTTCACCCTACTGAAATCCTCACCATTCTGGCTAAGATAAAAAAGTATTTGATTATATAAATGATGCTTTGTGCAATAGTATGGGCATTCTCCGCAAGTGTCTTCGTTGCTGTTTTTCCGTTCCATGTTATTTTACATGAAAAATACGAACGTAATTTGGATTTATCTTTCAAGGATCAATGACAAGGCTATGGGTGCATTCTGCTAACAATCATAGCCCTGTCATAGGGAAAGACATCATGGAGTTTGAAGTAACGACTCCATGCTTTTCTTGTTCGAGTAGGTAATTAGGGATGACATTGGAAAAATGCGAATATTTGCTGATTTCTTTTGATGTCTGCTTTGATAAATGTTTTCTATCACAAACTCAACTTTTGACATTTTTGGACATTTTTTGTGATAAGCAATGCATGTTAAAAGGCCTAGGCATTGACCAACTTTCGGTTTTGCATTTTTCAGAGTTTCATAGGTTTCAATTCCAGGTTATTAGACTAGGAGATTAAATCAATGCCAAATGGGTCATTATACTAGCATTGTTATTCTTTTTTTCGGTTTCGAATAAAACCGAATAAATAACTTTATGTATAATTTCCGCTGATTGCCTCGTGCTTGGCGTTGCAAGGAATTCCGAGTATACCAACTAAACAGAGTAAAGGCGAGACTTCAATTGTATAGGGAAAAGATGGAACATTGACAGCAACTGGAAAACTGGAAAAAGATAAAAAGAACGAAGATAAACCAAAAATGAAGATAGGACAAAACATCTCAATAAAGCCAACATTTGATTTTGCTTCAACTGCTTAATTAAAAGAAACTTCATAAAGTAATTAAAAATTGCTAAATCAATTGTTGCGAAATTTAGTGATCATTCCTTGTACCACAAAATTGCGTCAATTTGCTCCAGTCGCAGCAACTCTTAATAGAAAAGAGTAAATGGAAAACTGGAGTTTCACAATAGTATTTATGAATCGTGTCCACCTGTACCTACCTAGAACACTCCCCAGTCTCTGTATAGCCTGGTTAATTGCTGTATTTACCGACATTTCTGACTAATTACCTTTCTAAGAAACCTCATTAACGAAGATAAAGATCTAACTTAACCTTGTATTTAAAGCCAACTGTATAGATGAGGCCGTTTTTCAATATTTTTATTTTGTCAGTTTTATTACTTCTTGATTTTTTGGTATTCCGTCTAGGATTCCGGAAAGTTATCTACAAAAACAAGGATGAGTTTTGCTAAAATACACCATGGGCTATAGCTATTGTAGGCACACAATTGTTTCTTTGTCCTTCCGTCCGTCTCGTCTGTTTGTCTGTGACCATTTAGTCACACCTTTTAAAATAACTGATATGATTTGCGTATTTACTTCAAGTTATTTTTGTTACTCCTCAAAAGAAGTTCCCAGGGACTAGGGCTTCCTGTCAAAATCTCGGCTATTTTTAAGACGGCTGCTACTCTTATAACGAAGTTGATAATTTTGAGCGTAACTAGAAAATTATTTCTTCGAGTTGCATAATTAAATGCAATACCATACCAATACGATTTTAAATTCATAATTCTTGAAAAAACAACATGTTCGCAAGTTCTTTTTGAAATCAAGGCAAGCTGGACGAAATCAAAATGACAAATAACTTTTCATAATTTCATAGCTTTTCTTTCAGCTAAAACTAAATATTTGATACTTTATTTGATACAGCATAGGATTGAAAAATGGTCCAAGTATAACGACACCGTGGAAACTCAGTGGTCTGTATGTATTTTTACCTGCATCTGTCTTGCCTCTGTGCCCTTTATTTGTATTTTATCTAATATTTTGGAAAATAAACTAAATCAAAAATGTTGATACTCGCAGAAAAATAGAGATAGAACAAGATGAAATGATGCCAGAATAAAAATTAATACATAAGCATTCAGGCAATACAATAAAATAGAATAATGGGTTTCCATTTCCTTGTATGTCTTCCACGTGTACTTTGCCCCCTTAACATCCACTTCATATTATCATTAGCCTTTTTATCGTCCACTTAGCGGAACACTAATAGTATCACCTCAAATCTCAAACAAAATAAACAAACAAAATTTATTTCTTCGGAAAGATTTCTGAAACAGAACAAATCGTAGAATCGAGAAGATTCATGAAACGTTCCCAGGTTTCGCAATTAAAAATTGGCAGAAAAACTATAGTTTTAGTCATGTTATAGGCGCGCGCGCATTCCAAAGATATCCGAACGTTACTGTAATTAAAGAAAACATAATATACGCTGAAATTAATTGATGTTGTGCTTTTGTGGCTCGAGTAACTCTGGAAAAATGCTTAGCGTCAAGATACAACTTTCGGCTATGATAAATTACCCCTCTCTATCCCATTTTAGATGTCAGAAGAAACATTTATCTTACATATGATACCAAGCTCCTTTAACTTACAATCAGTCACAATAGAAATCTAACCACTGAAGTATAAGAACTAGCATTTTTCCAGATTGCTTGTCAAAAATATTATGCCGACCTTTGTGCGGTTTAAAACAGCGTTTATCTTTTGATGCTGAGTTTTTACCGTCTTGCGAAATACAACCAAGATTAAGAAATACAAACTATGAAAAAATTAGGTATTGCGTTTCACAGCTCAGATGAGCATCTGTATGTTTGTCCCGAGTGAAAATATTATTTTACAACGTGTTAATTGAATTTAACTCAACCATTAAGAAATAATCTCCGACTAGAATCCCTCATTAACAATGCGGTGATGAGATACATGATGACCATGTGATAACATGTCATCATGATGTTTTGATTCAAAACAGGCATTGATAAAAGTAATGTTATACCGCAAGAAGCGACAACCATAAATATATTGGTGATAATTCAATTATTTTGTGACATGTGTGAGTGAGTTTAGGGATATATGTTGGGAATAAAGCTAAACTGAAAAAGACATTGCAAGTTTTCGCGAATCCTAATGAAATTATGTCACGTACGATATAATCAATTAAGTATGAATATACAATGCAGGCATATGAAGTACAATTGCAAGCGTATGACGTGCATGCATATGGCGTTCTTGCATATGACTTACATGCATATAAAATAAGACATATGAAGTGTTAGGATGTGAAGTACAAGCACATATATTTCTATTAAAGTACTATTTCTATAGTTCTATCAGAACTCCAGGCATATGAAGAACAAGCATATGACGGACATGCATATGACGTGCTGGCATATGACATACAACAAGAAATAAAGAACAGGTATAACGTTCCCCATTGAACTACGTGTCAAAGCCTCTTTACCTTTGAATTTTTATTTACTTAATCTGCGATGAAAATACTTATACTATTGATAGAAACGTAATTTGACTTTATTTCCAATACCTCCAAATTTTCTCAATTTTTTTCTCAATTACAATAAGTCGAAAATTGATGATTTTGATGATTTTTTGAAAATCGACATTTCCATGTTAACCAATGGGAAATGGTAGGTTTGCCGCAAGTCATATGACAGAATATCCATCCATCCGAGTCCTTGCAAAAATACGAGCTTGGCAGGCAATTGAATTTGCTAACTTTATTTAACAAAAATTGATATGTTTCTTCAGGTTCAACAAAGTTATAGGGCTTTAAAGTAAAAAAATCTCTCCCATTGAAATAACACAGGAGGCGAAA